AAAAAAAAAAAAAAAAAAGGTGGTTTCCCTTAGCTGTAGGCCACAGTGCTGGGCTTCGTCAATAAATGTTCATCCCTGTGTCTGCCCCCCTTCCAGACAATTTCCAGACAACAAAAGCATAAGATCAGAGGACTAGACCAAGATAGCCACCAAGACTGGAGCCTGGGTGAAATGACATTTAGGCCTGGAGCAATGGATGGCACAGGGGCCTTTGCCTAGCTTTCTGATCCATGGAATGCCTGTCCTCCTCCTGCCAGATCACAGAGAGAAAAAGGAAGGGTTCTGCCCCTGGAGTCACAGTGACCTCGCTTCAGTTTCTTCTCTGCTATCTACTTTCTGTGTCACCTTGGCAAGGGGTATCATAGAGCCCAGGCACGTCAGGGGATGCTGTGTGAGTAAACCAGCCACCACTGCTACCAGCCCTGCCTGGGAGTGAGCCTGTCCTTTGCCCTGTTAGAGCCTCACTTTCATCATCTATGAAACAGGACAGAGTATGTTCCCAGCCAGAGGTGAAGTACCAAGGAGCAAGCAGGTGAAGCTTTTGGCTGGGTGGCTGCGATACAGAAAACCTGTAAAAGCTCCTTTTCAGTTGTGTTCCTGAATCCCTGCCCTGCCCCCAGCTTGGCCCTTTTTCTTCTGCACCCATCTTTTCTTTGGAGACATTCTCCAGGGGTTAGAGTTTAATACATGCAGAACAGGCTCATAGGGCTTTGTGTGCAGTGCCTCTGAGCCCCTAGGCAGGGCCTGTGAACCCTCTTTGTTCCCCTCCACCCCTGGGCTGGGCAGAGTGACTGGAACTGCCTGCGAGGGGCCCAGCAGGGCAGCCAGGGGCAGTTTTTGAGATGATGAATAGGTGGCTGAGGGTGTCTGGTCTTCCCTGCCTATCTTCCTGTTTCTACTGGGACCCAAACACAGCATGGAATGAGAGGCTCTGACCAACTGGAGGCACCAACTGGTGCAGGGAGGTGAGGGGTCACCTCATAGGGTCTGTTGATGCAGGCCGCAGGGAGGTGAACATACACAGAGGGGGCTCCTAGCAGGGAACCAGAAGAGCACCTGTGCTACTGAGCAAGACCATCTTGCAGAATGCAGGTGTCTACAGGATCCAGGTTCCATGCCTCAGAGTGGTCATGTACCTGCACAGGGAGTCTCCAAGGACCTGCCTTCTGACCCTGGGAAAGGTCTCCTGATTGGCCTGGTTCAGCAGAGGCCTTCAAGGGCCAGACCCTGGGTGCAAAAGATGGGGAATGGCAGTGATTTCCAACCTCACCAAGCTTCTTTGGCTGTGCAGGTGACTGCAGGTCTCAGCTGTGCCCCAAGCCAGGATCCCTGAAAGGACCAAGCCCATTATACAGGCTGACGCAGAGGGACTAGTCAAGCTGACACTCTGCAAAGCAACTGTGCTGATTCTGACCCAGCACCAGTGAAGGGAAGGAGAGGGGGGATAATGGCTCTTGGTGGCTGCCCTGTTCTGCTCTCCGGAGCCCTGGGAGGCTTCTCACTGTTCTGAGGCTGCCAAGTGTGAAGGAAAGGAGGAGGAAGCAGCAAGGAGTAGGAAATGGTTTTCCCCAACTAAGGATATGCCTTTCCTTCTATATTTGTATGTGGCACAATCAGTAGACCCTGAAGTCCCTTCAGACCTCATGAAGACAGGATTATGCCCTGAAAGTCCCCAGCTGAGCCAGGCTTGCCAGGAGCCAAGCCCTCTCACACTCACCTCCCCAGCCACAAAGAATAACAGTGGTGCCTCCTCTTCTTTGGCTTTATACTTGGCAATGATTTTCTCAGCTATTGGCTGGATCAGCTGTTTGGCTGCCTCAGACTCTCCATCATCCTCAGAATCTGTGATAGGTGATGAGAGGAAAAAAGACAAACTCTGTGTTGTCATATAGTGATGCCCCCAATGGATCAGTGTTGGACCTGAACTGCACTGGGTTCACCAGGCACAACTCAACTCACTGGGCAATGCCAACATCCCCCAGCAGACACCTTGTCATATAGTTCTTCACAAACACATCCTGCAAGCTAGGCTTTTCCCTATGCCAAGACCTGAGGTCCCTCGTAGCTTTTCTCTTGATCACAGAATGAGAAGCCATGACTTGGGACTTCCAGCTCCTAATGAAATGGCAGAAAAACTGGCAGTGAGGGGTAAGGACTCTGATCCTGTGAGCAGCTTTGATGGGAAACCATAGCTGCTATAAAGCCACCTTCAGAACTGGCAGCCAGACCTGTTTGGTAGGGTGCACATGAGAAGAGGGACCAAGAGGAGTAGCCACACACAGGGTTCTAAGGCTCAGATTGCTGAAACCTGTGGCCAAGAGCCAGGGCAACATCCCCAAGTGGCAAAAGCAGGATAGAGGGACAGAAAGATTCTACTGTACCATCGGAGAGGCTCATAGTACACACACAGAAGCCAGGACACTTGGGGTCCCCATCTAATTCACTTTGTGATGCCACCCAACTTGCTTTTTCACATTTCTGGAGAAGGCTAACAGGTTCCTAATTGTCCCTGAGTGAGTTCAGAGCTATTTCCTACCAGGCCCCAGGATATGGGCATGAGGACCTGCAGCAGGCAGGAAAAACCATGCTGAGGACTCCCTAAGGCTGCCTCTCTATAGCTAGCCTTCCTACCCATGACCAGACCTAGTTTGCTTAAGCATTCCCTTGGGTCAGCTTATCAGTCCCATTGTGGGGATGCAAACCAGAGCTCAGAGAATGCAGCAAGGTGTTAAGTATACTCCCAGCCCCTCAAGTGAAGCTGGTATGGTCTATTCCAACCATTGTCCTAACACAATTCAGTTGGAGGTGACCAGCAAGTCCCAAGGCAGAGAGAAAGGGGACTCATGGCAAGGGTTGTAAAAACAACCTTAGGTCATTCCACTGGGGTGCAGGGACCCTTGCAGGTAGATGTCCTTCTGTCTTCCCTCTGGCTAGGAGGTAGAGCCTCTAAGAATGGGAGAGTCAGGGTTGCCCTGTGGACTGAGGCCAGCTCCCGTGGAGCACAGGAGAGTGGCAGAAGCAGCCCTGGGTGAGCCTTAGCCTGAGGGGGCCCTACCCCCTGCAGCTGCTATGCAAGCAACCCCCTCTTCCTTTCCAACAAAAGCTCTGTTCATGGGGGCGGGACTGGGGCATCCTCCTGGCCTGACCTATTTTGCCCAGCTGGCAGCAGGAGCAGTACAACAGGAAAGCTGAGCAGTAGCAGCTCCCAGACCACCCCCTAACCCCGAACGGGGATAGCCATGAATAAATCATTGGGGGTCAAAAGCAAGGCTGCTGAGGAGACAAAGGCTTAGCACTGTTCATGGCAGAAAGAGGCTGCAGGAACAGTACTACCCAAGTGAGGTCCATTCTGGACTGTCTCCCACTGTCGTCCCCGCCCCCCACCCCCCACCAGCTCCATACCTACAAAAAGGACGAGGCAGGGGCCTTCATTGAGCTGCACAGCATTGGAGTCAGAGAGTTCCAGCACGGGCTTCGGGTGCCATGGGAACTCCCTGCAGTCCTCATCATTTAGCACCTCCACCCGGCCCTGCCGAGTGATCACCTCCCCCTGTGGGTCCAGTACGATGAGTGTGGGGATGCCTGGGAGAGAGACAGAGCACTCAGTTGGCCGCTGTACTGAGACAGGCACCAGATCTAGGACATGTGCACACACACAGTAAGAATCCAGGCCCGGAGCTGGAAAGCCCTACGCTGAAATTGGGCACTGCTGCTGACTAGCTGAGGCACTGCTCTAGGTCTGCATGAAACCACCCCATAGTACTGGAAAGAAGTCACTTGGCCTGTCTGGGCTTTACTGTTCTCAGTGGCAACATGGTGACGGGGCTCTAGTTCCAACCCTTCCTACTCCATCACCAGCAATGAGTATCACATTAAAGAACAGTTCAGGAGCCAGAGGAATGCTTCAGAGGCAAACACTCGCTTACTATGCACAAGGCTTAGGGTTCAATCCCAGCATCACACACACACAGAACCGAGCATAGGGTCTTGACAGGAGCAGCCAGTCAGTGGTGGGCACACCCTAAAGAGACCCCAAAGATACAGTAGGCCTCTCCATTGGCAAGGAGTCGAGCGCCAACTGAAATGGCAAAAGAACATGCAAAGATCCTCTCACACAGGCACTGAGGCCCACCCGATGAGTATCAATGAACACAGCTCTGATAAGCATGGGTGCAGGGGAGGGAGGAGTCTGGACTGACTGGCTGCCGCACAAGTGAGGGAGGCTGAGGACAGCCAAACCAAAGGCAGGCCTTTTGCAGTTTCTACCCCTAGCCCTGCTGCCTGGGGAGGCTCCAATACGTGCTGAGGGGGGGGGCAGCCCCCAGAGGGAGCAGTACATGGACTAGAGAAAGAAATGTTACAGAAAGCTTCTCCTGTGAACAACATACACCCCAAATATAAAGCCCCAGCCCAACACTTAGAGAAAGCCCTAATTGGTTTTCAGCTGAGCTTGCCATCCCTGGCTCTTTGTACCCACCCCACTTCCCACTGCTTTTCTTCCGGCCAGGGCCACCCCCTAACAACCACAGAGTCAGTTTCTGCCCTGCTCTTTGGGGCAGACTTGTCCCTCCACCGGAAGCTGGTCCCCTCCCCCCTACAGCTCTCCAAGCACCCCTTCTCAGGGGCAAACCAGAGCTTGAATTTTATATGAGAGTCAGAGCAATTTAATATTTATAGGTTCCGAAGTATTCGGTCAGTAATTTGCTCCACTGACATTTTACTTCTCTGTGGGGGAGACAGCCAGGTACCAGAAGTATAGCCCTGGTGCTTTGTAACCCACCGTGGCAGTGGGCCCAGTGGACACGCGGTGGTGGGCCTCTCTTCAAAAGGAATAAACATCCATTATGTTCACACCTACTAGAAGTGGCTGGACGTGTCAGGGAACAGTTTGACAGAACTCAGTTCCTGAGGACTCCCATTGCCACACAGATACAGGCAGCAAGCACTCCTTGCTGGCTTTTAAGAGGTGCTCAACCCTAAACAGGAGTCCTGAGAAGTTGTCCTAACCATTGCCTCTCCCTGAGGCCTGGGCACTCCTGGGATGTGTCTCTCATCTCTGGGGAGTAGACAGAGGACTTAAGCCAGTGGCTCAAAGGGGGCCAGGGCTGAAGGCCACAGGGGGCAGGCTGGGGCATATGAGTACTCCACATTGCCACAGTCCCTATCCCTAAAAAGCTCTGGTATAGTTCTTTAATCCGAGCTGGTATGTTTCTGAAATTGGGCAATTTATGAGCACTGGGTAAACTAGAGCCCACCTACTGCTATGATTAGACACAGCAGTGGACCTGTTTGTAGCCTGGACTTAAGATGTGGAGTAGTCTTGTAGGGGACAGACAGGCATAGAGCTTGGGGGAGGGAGGAGAAGGCAAGTCTATGGGCCAAGGAATTGTGAGGGGACCAGGACAGCAAAACAATGACACAGAGCCCCAGGCAAGCTGCTGAGAAGTCCATGGCTGATTCTACCAAGGTCCCCTGAGCCGGAGTCTCCCTACCTCTTCCCCTCAGCTATGCGAAAACAAAGTCCTCACCAAAGCTCATATTTAGGCACCTAAGACAAGGCAGTACACAGCTGTGGTCAGGGTAGTGTCACAACTATGACTATGGTGCATGAAACATCCAGTTAGCTTGGAATCAGAGATGCCCTCAGGTTCTGCATGCTGATAAAAAACATCTATGCCCAACCATGTTCACTTTCCCTTTGTTTTGACTCTAGAGCATTCTAAGGGTGTAATTTCCTCTTCTGCTGAATCAGAGAACTAGTGAAGAGAGGAGGAGCTTGCCTCTGCAGTGAGTGCTTAGTGCTTGGCACAATGTAACTGCCACCTTACTCAGTCATCCTAACAGGAGACTGTGAGGAGCACCACTATCCTCCCATTGTCCACCCAAGATCACCCAGCCAGTCACAGCTGGCCAGGAAGCTGGCCTGCCTGTCACAAAGTCTGCTCTGTCTCTGGGATACATGCCTTTGCCAAGGACTCTCTAAGCACCTGGTTGAGGCCAGGGAGGGTGTGGGGACTTCAGCTACCTGGGTTCCTCTCCCATCTCTTCCTACATCCCCAAAGCAGTGACAAAGGAGACTGAGAGAACCACCACCCCATTCCTCTCCTCCCAGGCACACAGTTCCTGAAGCAGGCTTTCCAAAGTCACCACTTAAGAGAAAACAGGGAGAAGCCTCAATAGGAAACTTAAAGGGTATAGCAAGTTCTTCCCTCTCTCCTTCCTTCCCTTTCTCCATCCCTCCTTCTTTTCTTTCCTCCTTTCTTTTGGGACAGGTTTTCCCTGTAGCCCCAGCTGGCCTGAAACTCACTATGTAGACCAGGCTGGCCTTAAACTCACAGAGATCCACCTGCCTCTGCCTCCTGAGTGCTGGAATTAAAGTGTGCCACAAAGCCCTGAGAGGAACAGCAAATTTCTAATCAATGCACTCAACAGAAAATATCTTCCACATTATTAAGGAGCCTCTTTGTAGGAACAAAAGGAATGGCTTATCACTGCTTGGCCCAGACCTTTTGTTTCCCAGCTAAGCAGCTGGGATGACTACAGAAAACATAAGATTTCTGGGGTTCTAAGGAAGATCTAGTCAAGTCTCTTAAATTTATTTTTTATTTTATCTATCTATCTATCTATCTATCTATCTATCTATCTATCTATCTATCTATCATCTATCTATCTATTTATTTTGAGACAGGGTCTCCCTATAGCCCCAGCTTGCCTGGAACTTGCTATGCAGACCAGGCTGGTCTCCATCTCACAGAGCTCCACCTGCTTCTGCCTCCTACATGCTAGGATTAAAGGCATGGGCTATCACACCCAAAAAATCTCTTAACTTTTTTGAGTCTCATTTCTCCAGCTGCTAAATGGGGATGTCAGTTTCTATCTTATTTGATTATGGGGAAGAATAAAAGGATGTAAAAGTGAGTACTGGGGATACTATAATGCTCCATAAGTGTTAGCAATGATAAATAAATCCTTTCATTTTTCTTTTCTTTTCTTTTTTTTTTTTTTCTTTTTGAGAAAGGGTCTCCCTGTAGCCCCAGCTGGCTATGTAGACCACTGGCCTTGAACTCACAGAGATCTGCCTGCCTCTGCCTCCCAAGTGCTGGGATCAAAGGCGTGTACCACCACTCCCAGCCCAAATCCTTTCAATTTTTAAAAAAATGAAACGCTGATATGGCTTCTAAGAAGGCAGAGGTACAGAGGACAGAAGCCTTTTAGTACAGCAGCAGAAACCTCAGGCCAGGCTGGAGAACTTCAGCTAAAGAACAGGAGATATGAGGTCAATGCTGGAGGGTCCTGGGAACAGTGATGTCCGCTAAGTGTGAGGTCAGTGCTCTTTTACTGCACCATCCCAAGCTTACCTTGAACGTATATTTGGCATTCCCAAAGAGGGTTCAGCCTAAGCCTCTGGTTCTGGGGAGCTGGGATACGCCTTAATTAGTGCCTGAGTCCCTCTCCCTCAAAACACAGAGATGAAGGAACGAGGCCTGTGAAGCCAACTCCAAGCCCCTTTATCTTAGGGAGACCAGTATTTAAAACAATCTCAAAGCAATGCCAGAGACCATCCCACAGTTCAGTTTGTTCATTTCTCTGTTGCTAAGGAAATAGTTTTGTGGGGAGTGGAGGTTGGGGGTAGGGGTGGCTGGGGCAAAGACGCTGAAATGGTTCATGTACTTGGGGAGGAAAAGAAGGAGCCAGGTTGGGTAGCAACCCAACTCTGCCTGCATCTGGAAGGCAGATCCGAATGGGCTCCCAGCCCCCACCCCCCACCCCCAAAGATCGTTGAGAGGTGGAGGAAAAGCAGTTTCCTAGGACAGGAAGTGTTGCAGGGCACAGTATTGTGAGATGGTCAAAATGGTCACTACAAAGAGTGCAGAAAGGGTTGCAGCATATTGCTAAGGGAAAAACGCAGGGCATACAGAGCTATGTGTGCATTACAGCTGTGTGTAAGTACGAGTGCACGTGGACAGAGACCAAAAGGACTCAGAACAGTGGAAACAGTTGTATGAATAAGATAGGAATACAGTTAAAATGAGATATAGATGTCTGGATTTGAAGTGATGTCATAAAATGTGAATGAAAATGAAAATGAGAAGTGAAGGGCAGTGGGGTAGGGATGACACTGCAAGCCAATGCCTTGGCTCAATCAACAGCCAGGCCTCTTCTTCTCATCGCTCTTCTCCTCCCACTGCTTCCACCCCTCAAAGCTTTCCCTTGCTTAGAGAACTAAGGTGAGGAAGAAACAGCAGGTTTAGGTGGCGAAGCTCTGAGAAACTCAATCAAGGTCAGAAGAATGAGCCTGGGCCAACTTGAATTTGGCCACTGGATCCAGAATCTGCTCAGGCTGTGCCAAGAGACATGAGTAGTCATGTCTGTGTAAATCTGGACACAACCACTGTCCGTCAACAGTGGGGCAGTTCAATCAACGGCATAGTCACCCTGTCCATCAGTAGTAGAGTGGAGAAGTCAACTGCCACAGTCAAACAATGAAACACTTTCTAGACCTGAAAAGAAATGCAATAGCTGTGAGTATCAACAGGGATAAATTTCGAAAATATGTGAGAAAATCAAGTGGGAAAATGATACTACGCCATGACAGCATTTAAAGTGTGTTTCTAAAAGATACACCAAGCAAAACTATATATTATTCATGGGTTCATATAAATGCAGGAAAATGTGGAAATGGCTTATGAAGTTACACATTAAATGTATGGCAGTGATTCCTGCAGGAGGAGGAAGACTGGAAGGCAGGAGAGTGCAAGGGCTCTCCCCTTTGTCTGTAATGCTTCCAATTCACCTCTGTGACTCTCTCTCTCTCTCTCTCTCTCTCTCTCTCTCTCTCTCTCTCTCTCATGCTGGGGGAGTGGACGCAGGACCTACATTCTACTTTAAATACATGATGAGGAATGTCTCCTGGTGTAGCTGCTTAGTGTTTATTACATTATTTTCTGCCCTTTCCTGTATTTTTCTTTTTATGTTCTCACAATTAAATGCAACAGACAAAAGAAAACACCAAAGCCACTTGGTAGATTCCTAGGCTGCCCCAACCTGCTCTTGCCAACAGATACGGCAGCTCCACATAGCCCAAGTCAGCCCTTTGAATACAGAGATTTTTCTTTTTTAAGTTATTATTATTATTTTTTATGTTTATGCGTGTATTGCCTGCATGTAGGTAAGTGCACCCGTGTCGTGCAATGCCCACGGAGGTCAGATGAGGTTTTGGATCCCCTGGAACTGGAGTTACGGATAATTGTTACTGCCATGTGTGTGCTGGGAACCCA